CAGAAGTGTGCAGTTGATCTCATTTTACAGTTCTTCCTAGAATAGCTAAAAAAATCGTTATGCACACTGAAAGAATCCGGATGTGAATAGCCTTATTTCCTTTTAAGTTACCTTCGTGGAGGACTTTCTAAGAGAAAATGTCTTGTATACATGTTACGCATGGGGAAATCCACAAAAACGCCCATGCCGGCAGCCGTTCACGGGATTCGTACCTCTGACCGAACTACCAGTGTTCAGCGAGTTTACTATTCAGCCGCTGGTGGACCTTGAGTATAAAGGTAAGGATTTGCCTCTTAAAAAAACTCAAGTGGAAAAAGTGCAAAGTTCTGCTTATTCTAAATTGATATACTTGAAGATTATTTCAGGTCGAATAGCGAAAACGAAAGAAAGTCATAAAAACCTGCAATAGGCATTTCCAAAAATAGCCACTAATTTGAGAAACGAAACTATATTTCATACTTAAAACTAAAAAACTCATATTAGAACTGAATATTATATTATTAATCAGATTGCGTATGAGGTGGAGGAAAGAGAATTCAAGATACTGCATTCATTCATATCTTTTTTAATCAATAAATTCAAGAAACTGGTCCTTTCAATAACAGTATTACGAATTTTGCATGCATGAAAATAATTTTAGTTAAATTGCATGCTAATTGTAGTACCTCTTGTATAATGTAACATGAAAGGCCGCAACAGAGTGTGAAGCATCGCAGAAAAGCAGGGTTTCAGGCGCAAGTTCATATACGAGCAATATTGAGGTAAGCGGTTCTATCGCCAAATTGGCGAAATAATGCCAAGATAGTGGTGGTTTCGGCGACTAATTTTTGTCTACAAATTTCGCGAACCATCGCCAAATATAGTCGAAATTGGCGACCATCTGGCGTTTTTGATCGATCCCTGTTGAACTATAATTTGGTCCCTCAATCCTTCCAACACGCCTTCCTGGTGTAACGGGTAGCACACTCGTCGCGTATTCGAAAGGTACAGGTTCGAGTCTCGTCGAGGGCATTGCACATTTTTCACATCTCCTGTTTCAAAAATAACCTAAGAACACTACAATGGCGTCTGAAGTAGAAGGTGGTGGATAACAATAAGTCTCCACCAGGACTTGGCAATTGGAGACAACAATAAATTTCTACCAGGATTTGGCGAATTAATCCCCAGCTACCATTTAAAAGGGAAAACATAAAGGCATTTGCACCTTCCTTTATGCATGCCTTCGTAGTGTGATTGGAAGCATACTCGAAGCATATTTGAAACGTCAAGGGTTCGAGTTCTGGCAAGGGCATTGCACATTTCTCACGGCTTCAGCATCGGAGAAAAAAAATCTAATGACTCTGCATTGGCGCTCGAACTAAAAAGTGGTGAGCAATAATTCATCACCACCGCTAATCCCTAGTCGTCTTTTAAAAGAGGGAATATATAAGGTATTTTCCCTTTCCTCTAGCACACCTTCGTGGTGTAACGGCAGCACACTTGGCGCATATTCGAGAGATCCATGTTCGAATTCCGACGAGGGCGTTGCACATTTTTTTACGTTTCCTGCTTCAAAAAACGCCTAATTTCTCTACACGCTGTCTACGTAACTGTAACTGCACCCGGCTCCAGGTACATTCTTCCTACAAATTTCGAGAAATCGAAAGTACTTTAAATTTCTCGTCGGACGGAGGAAAACAATATAAAAGAGAGAGTATACTAAGATCTGTGTTGAGTTCAACCTATTGAGAGTATTGAGAAGTCACTGTGTGAGCTTATACATTTGAGACTTTTTATATCGTCTTGTTTTTAACTTTCTTAGTAGTCTGAAGTGGTGACTACTGATTGTGACCTGTCACACTTAAGTGCTGTACGAGTACGTTTGTAAAGAGTTTTGGAACTGTAAAGTGTTTCTGTGGGGGGGGGGGGGAAATAAATTTTATCAGGCTGTCATCGGCTCTGTCATCAGGCTCATCAATCCATCAAGCCATAATCCATTATCAGACTCATCAATCCATTATGAACCCGTGCGCATGTAACAATAGTGACAATAGTAATAACACAATAAACATTTTTACTCAAAAGGATTTAATAAATAAAGTTTATTGTTGAATAGATCTGAGGTAAAAAGGAGACAATGCACAAGATCGAACAAATATGATTAATTTAGTAATCTGAATACTGCATTAACTATCATACCCATTTTAAATGAAAGCGTATTGTGCAAAAACCCTTTTTTTAATTGTATTTTATTTTCTGTTTTTTTTTTTAGTCTCAGTTACATGTTATCAATGATGAAATTTTCAGTTATTATGAAAACACAGGTGTATATATATATAATATATATATAAACACAAATGTGTATATATATATATAATTATAAGAAAATTATGAAATAAAAAAAAGTAACTGAATGTTATCCAAAAAATAAAAAACTCGTTTTGAATATTCATTTTCAGAAATTATATGTAACAGCAGTTACTTAAAGAGCATTTTACTTGAAGCTAAAGTGAAAAAACGAATATCGCTAATTCGTCATCAAGAATGCCAATATGGCAAACTCGAAACGCTGTTTTCCCGTCTGCTTCAGACTGCAGCACAATTTTTTTAAGCCATGTAGGAAATGACACAATGAATATTTTTGTCATTATTGTTTTAAATCAAGGTGGAAAGTTTGTTTTAGAGTCAGTGAAAATTTTCAAAATTTTATATCTTATGCATTTTTAGATGTTGCAATTTTAAAATCATGAATATCAAATAGTTATCCAAAAAATTAAAAACTCGTTTTGAATATTCATTTTCAGAAATTATATGTAACAGCAGTTACTTAAAGAGCATTTTACTTGAAGCTAAAGTGAAAAAACGAATATCGCTAATTCGTCATCAAGAATGCCAAGATGGCAAACTCGAAACGCTGTTTTCCCGTCTGCTTCAGACTGCAGCACAATTATTTTAAGCCATGTAGGAAATGACACAATGAATATTTTTGTCATTATTGTTTTAAATCAAGGTGGAAAGTTTCTTTTAGACTCAGTGAAAATTTTCAAAATTTTATATCTTATGCATTTTTAGATGTTGTAATTTTAAAATCATGAACATCAAATAGTGTAAAAAATCGAGCGATTTTCAAAACCTCGCCAAACTTCCAGAAATTAAGTTACAAGACTTCTTTCGCTGTATTCGATGGTGCAAACAGCAAAATTCTGTTATGTTTAGTTTGTTTGTTAAGCGAAGATACGCGCAGAGATCACTTAAACATTAAATAAAAAAAGCTGATGTGTACAACACATGACTTCATTGTACGGAATATTAAATTATACGCATTTTTTCTTGCATTTCGTTTAAACTTATTGGATTTAATTAAATCTACTTCGCCGACAGCGCATAAACCACAATAGAATAAATGCACTCTTTAAAATTCACTCTATTTGTTTACCATAGCGACACTCTGTCGCTAGGTTCACTTAACAGTCTTATATTTCGTTCATACTATAACTCAGAATGCACAAAATTTATATCATTTAAAGAATTATCTAATCTTTGCAACATGTTCTATTCAAATACTGTAATAAAGCTAGAACGATGTATAAAAGAAATTAAGCAAACAAAACGAAAAAGGACCAATTTTTCACAGACGATTGAGTATTTCTCATTCAATTAACTCAGTTCTCACTTCGCGACAATGCAAAAATACATAAAAACTCAAAATATCTGTATTAATAATTACTAATTATTAAAAATTAAATTATTAATTATTAAAAATTATGTAAATCTTAAACACTTATTTCCTCGAAAAAATTCCAGAAAGCATTAAGCATGATTTAATTCGCAATAATAAATGAAGGCGTTATCTTTGTTGTTGCGAAGTTAAGTTTCTCTAGATTGCCAACAAATCCACTACTCTGCTATTTCAAATGTAAACAAGCTATGGCCTCCATCAAAAAAATTATTAGACACTTAAACAACTTTTAAATTGTTAATAGTTCTAAAAATATTACATACAGATTTACGAAAGGCATAAAAACCTTAACCGGAAGATAAAAACAACATAATTCAATCATTTTTAAAGCAAACAATGTAGAATTTACAAACATATAAGAGTAAAGAAATTGAGATCACTGAGCCGGGTAACAGAGTGGATATATATATAAATATATTTATATACGTTTGGTGCGACCTATTGCAACCAAAATACGAGATGCACATCTACATGTTATAGCAGTCCTATGTACAAAATTTCAACGTTCTGAGGCTACTCGTTTTTTGAGTTATGCGAGATATGTACGTACGTTCGTACAGATGCCACGAAAAATTCTCTTCAGAATTCATTTTAAAGCAGTTTTATAATTTTGTTGGAGGAAAAGAGTATTTTATTCTGTTCTTAGGTGCAGATATCACGCAAAAACATCGTTAAATTGCATTCGATAGCGGTCAAAATGGATATTTTCGTTGAAATATGCTGCCTGAAACTTTTCGCGATTACAATACTTCCTTTTGACTTCGTACAAGGAAGTAAAAATCTAAATCAAATTTTGAAAAAAAAAAACCGCTTCATCATATTGCATTGTGTATACAAAATTTGAGCGCGATAATTATCAAGAATTGGTGTTTAAACCAATGGCAATATTCCACGCACAGTAAACATTAATATTGAACTAAAAATAGCTTATAAAAGCTATTTAAATATAAAAGTAATATAACAGTTGCATTGGAAAATAAAATAACAGTAGGAAAAAATTCTGTAATGAGCTAATTTGTTCAACATTCTCTGAAAATCTTAATATTTATGAAATCTTAGAACATACTTTAAAATTCGAGGAATATATCCTCACCCTAATGCTTATGAAATATAAATTCGCGTATGTTTAATTAGACGTAAAAAATATAAGAAACAGAAATTATCATGATACGTAAAGGCAATGACACTCGGTGACAAGCAAATCTCTTTCACGTCCAAATAACTGATATCGTTTGACAGATATATATAAAACCGTGAAAAATTGAATCTTTCATTTACCATTAATTCTAGTTCTCGTGCTTTCACAAAAAGCTTATTGCTTTCATTTTTCTTTTGAAACATGGAGAACAGTTTATTTGTGATATTTTTTTCTGCTTTATTAATCCAGGTCTGGGCGCATGGGCGACTTCTAGAACCACCTTCGAGATCCTCAATGTGGAGATTTGGTTACTATACGCCTAAGAATTATAATGACAATGAATTGTTTTGCGGGGGAATTTACGTAAGTAATTTTATTTATAAAAACTTTTCGGAAATATTTTATCTTCGGTTTGAATAATGTAAATAAATCATCAAATTTGGCCTTTGATTGTACCTAACACGACATTTGTATGTTAATTCCTTCCTGTACCTTCTATTTCTTCGATTCTAAATACTGAAAATATCAGATACCAGATTCTAAAAAACAGATTATAAAAATTTCGTCCTTAACTACCTATTATTAATATGTTAAAACTTAATGTTTAAAAAAGGAAAAGACAAATTACTTTTGCAATTATTAATGCATTAATTTTTAGTATATTAGTGTCTGGTATTTGGTTGATAAATATACTTTTTTTTAGCTTTTTCAACGCAAATTGGAGTGAATCTTAATTTTTATAAAAATTTGTATCCGTCTGTAAAAGCATAAAAAGTGCTTTTTATTTTATAAAAGCATGAAAAAGAAACTTTTAAAACAAATTTGGCCTAAAATTTAGATTTTCATATGCATATTTACCAGTCGGAGTATGAAATTATTGCGACAGATATGATATGCCTTTATGTAAAAAACTGATATTAGATTTTTTTTTAAAAAAAAAAAAAAAAAAAGCAAAATCACAAAATATTTAAAAGCAGCATACCTTTAGAATTCCGGACAGACAGTTAAGTATTGCATCGTACTTTTTTATATTCGATATATTATTTATTAGAAACTAATCGCTCGCTTGGACCCTGCCTAAATTATTTATTATAAAAAAGAAAAGTATCCTGGGTGTGGAGAGTTATCATCCACAAACCTTTTAGTTCGGGCGTCACTGTAGAGACATTAGGTAATTTTTTTTTAGTCCAAAGGGATTTGAATCCCGAAGGACTATTAGTTTCGTTTTGGCATTTTGCGTCAGACTCATAAATGTCGGTTCACTTTTCAAACTGTTGCCACAAAATGTTAGAGTCCTGCATTATATTTGAAGAAATTAAATAATGAAAAATCTGCATAAATGTATGTATATTTCTCGTATTGTGATAAAACAACGCTACATAGAGTCATCGAATTTTGAATAACGTAATCCTCCAACCAATATGAGCATGTGGAAGACCAAATTTGAAATTTGAAATTTGTTTTATGATCGATTTCCTATTTTTTAAAACTTTGACGAATTTTTGATTAACAAACTCAAGGATTTCAAAGCGAGCAATGGCAACGTTGTGCAGAAAAAAACATTTTTATCTCCAGCGCGTGAGTCTCTGTATCGGAAATTCTAAAGATAGGCTCGTTTTAAAACTATTTTGCGATATTGCTGTTGCACTGGATCTTATGGTTTAAGTGCGAGGAACATGATATTTAATAAAGAAAGGTAACACACAAAATGTTAAAAAACGCCCCTTTGGACGTAATTTAAAATCTGAAACATTTCAGATTTTTTTTTTTTTTTTTTTTTTTAAAGCCGGAAAGATGAAAAATGAGAAAACACCTTCGCCGGGAATCGAATCACGCACCTCTGAAATACCGGCTCAGTGTGCTGCCCACTACACCACGAAAGCACGCTAGGAAGGCGGGAGAAATACCTTAACAAGTCATATAATATAATTTAAGTTAAATTACTAACTAGTGAAAAAGCTCGTTGTTGCACGAATCCTGTATCAAAACCCAATTATATTTCAAAAACGAAACTACTGTTTGCTGCAAGAAATGTGTCCAAAGAATCCAAGAATCCCATGCTTTGGAAGGGTGAAAAGAATCGCATGCTGCTCAGGAGCCGCCTATTAGGAGCCGGAGAACGGCATCCGCTTCGCTAGCCGCAGTTTGCTCATGCGCAACCTATGCAATTGACAACGCAATTAAATTAATAGATTTCACTATTTAGATGCTCCATGCATTTATTATTGGCGATATAAAATTGTAGATGAATTCTGTAAACAGAATTCTTAAATCTGTTTTTCACATTTAACTATTTAATAATTTCATTTTTCTCCTTTTAGTGCCTTAATTTGCATGCATTATTTAAATAAAAACTTGTAGAGTCATTAGGTTATTTTTAAAGCCCGAAGACATACTGGAAAAGAATATACCTCCTCCTTTTAAAGGGCGACTAGGAATTAGGGAACTCAGTCGAGAAATCCTTGAGGTGATTAATTATTATCCACTACCATTTAGTTCGGGTGCCACTGTAGAGTCACTAGGCTATTTTAAAGCAGAGAACGTGAGAAATCAGCAGCGTCCTCACCGGTACTCCAACCTGGACCTCTCGAATACACGCAGAGTAGGCTACCGTTACACCACGAAGGCATGTTGGAAGAAAGGAGAGAATGACTTATAATCTTATTGTATAAAAACCTTTTATTTTAATTGTATTTTATTTATCAATTCTTTTTTACATATTTCATGGTTGCTGTTGTATTATACAGGTACAGTGGCAGATTAATAATGGTAAATGCGGTGTCTGTGGTGACCCCTATCACGTTCAACAGCCTAGGCCGAATGAAGCGGGAGGAAAGTATGGTCTAGGGATCATCGTCAGAAACTATACTGTAGGCCAAGTAAGTTATTGATTCAATTTTAAAGCCAATATTCACTTAAATTTATCTATTAAAACCCTCTGAGTGGCAAGGCCGTACATATACGGCCTAGAATATTTTTTGTGATATTTTTAAAAACGTATATATACGTACATATTAAAATAAGTCAAAGAAATTAAGGCAATATATCAAAAGAAAACAAATCCAGGTAGGAAATATCAGGAGAGTTTTTACATTAAAATCAAAAAATAATTTGTTCTCATGGTAGTTTTGGGAAATTTCTGCTTTCTTAGCGAAAACCCTGACCGCTCATAGTGTTAATAAAAAGGGAACAAAATTTCGATGAATTTCAAAATTTAATTTAAAAAAAATTTTATAATTTGGAAATTTTAGGAATACGATTTACTTTATAGGATTATTCATTGTAAATGAACACCAGGGGATCATCTCTAGGATTTGAAACTAATTTTATAATATCATTCATGCTTATAAAAGACGCTTCATAATGTTCATAAAGCTTGCACTGCTGTATGTCTCTTGGACACTTGACTTCAAGTCCGTAGTTTCAGTTTTAAAAATGATCCAGTTAAAATTAAAACAATTTCAATTACAATTAACATATTGATTGCCATAGCGGTGACCGGTGGCGGACATCTGGTTATTTCAGGTGCGGGATAGAGGTCATAGGTGACCGGCAAAGTAGACTGATGTATGAGCTATTGCTCATATATACATACAGATTCTTCATTATTTATTTTATTTAAAAATAATACAGAGCGATAATATTTGGTGGCAGCAATTTGAAAAATGACTCACTGTTTATAGTGAACCATCGTAAAATTCTTTTATCAGGACTAATACTCCCCTTTTCAGCTAAAAAGGGATATTAATTTATGGTGTAATTTTTCATTCGGAAGATTTTTTTGTCGTAAAAAATTTAACGGCATGTAATTTAAACTTATGTAAATTAACCGTAAACCTGATGTTGTAGAAGCATTAGGTATTTTTGGAAACAGGCAAGAGAGATTGAAAAATTAGCAACGCCTTCGCCGGAATCGAACCGCGGACCACACCACGAAGGCGGGAGAAATACCTTATAATTTAGGTTAGGCAGACGAGGTTATAATTAGACAGACCAAGTTATCTTTTTTTTCCCCGTTTGATTGCTTTCACAATTAGTCGAATTTTATATGTATGAAATTATTTACTTCACGTAATTACAATAAATTGATTTAAAAAATATCTACTCATATTTTATTTCTTACCAAACTGTCATGAAAATCAGATTTATTAGATGACTAGTAAGCCTGCAATTCTCTAACGAATCGAATAGTGGCCTCCCAGACAGTATCGTATTTAGGGAAGCCTAGTGTGGTACCAAAGGGCCCGGTTTCGAATCCCAGAGAAGGCATGGATGTTTGTAAACGTATAATATCTTTGCGGCATGGGGGCACTCTAACTATATGGCGAGCTGGAAGTCCTCTTGTGTGGTTGGTAGTAGGGTAGAGGAGTGAGGGACTATCGTATCACCGCCCCGGGGTGCACTCCCTCAAAACTGGGGTTGAAGTTAACTCAAAATTGGGAAATTCCTTCTACGACTCAAATTATGCCAAAATGCCAAATTTTGTAAAATTCACACGAGTCTTTTTTTTTTAAAATTAGCTCTCAAAACTTTAGCTTCTCAATGTTAATTGAACTTGTTAATCTCTCTTTTTTTATTAAACTTACTTGATTTTTTCTTCCAGAATTCGAAATTTAGGCTTAATCCAAATATAATTCGCACATTTTTTTTTTATTATTTATTTTAGAAATTTGTATTTTTAAATACTTTTTCATAAATTTTTCGAAAAAATTTTTGTATTATAACCCAAACCGTTTTTAACATCATCTTAAAGTAGATGTATTTCTAAGCATATCTGAAGAAAAATTAGAGCTTTTTATTCAAAATTTCCTAAGATACGTGAATTTACAATTTGGCGTATTTAATATGAGCGATAATAACGAAAATTTAGCTTAAGCACTTTTTTAAAATTATTTGAAAGAATTAACGGCGGAACCTTTTTCCTCTCGTGCGTCATTGAAAAAAAAAATAATAATAATAAGTAGGTTATTATAAATTAAGAATTTCTCCAAGTGAATTATTCTTGGCGCAAACTGAAAAAAATGCGCCAAGATAAATTTTTAAATTTCTCCATAAATCTCTCACAAAATTTAATATCTAGGCATAATGAAAATATGGAAAAAAATTTATATACTTCAGAAAAAGTCCTATTTTGTGTCAAAATACCATATTCACTCCTGTATTATCTCTCACGCTATGCCAACAGGCCGAGCGTTGAACAGAACTTCTGCTATCAAAGCGGTTCCAGATTTTACGAAAGTTGAAGAAGTAAAATATTCAGGACAGCATAATAATCAATTAAAAATTGAGAGATATATCATTACGATGCATATTAGTAAAGTAAATTAAATAACATTAAAAAAATGCATAAATTACTTCATTTTCTCCATTTTCACAGGAAATCGAGACCACCGTTGATTTGACTGCAAACCATTTGGGATACTTCGAGTTCCGGATCTGTCCCAACAATAACACGAATAAAATCGTTGAACAAGATTGCTTGGATAAATACCCTCTACAGCTTGCAGATGGTACAGGCACTCGATATTATGTGACAAAAGAACAGATGGGATTGATTCATGTACCTCTCAAGTTACCAAGGGATCTTAGATGTTCGCATTGCGTTTTACAGTGGCAGTACCGGGGAGGTAAGTTAACTTCAAATCACTTTTCCGAATTTTCGTAAAACTTACGAATCTTCTTGATTGCACTGGATGATTTTCGCTAATTCATGTTCTAAGATTTTGAAAATTGTTTTGAAAATTTCAGGTATCGTATTCCCTCGCGTATATTTCCCCCTAGTTTTTAGCAATGGATTTTGAAAATTTAAAAAGTATTCGTATAACCCCCCCCCTTACTCAGTTCATAAATTCGTGCAGGTCAGTCCATAAATTCGTGCGCATTTTTTGGTAAATTTTTAAATAACATAAAAAAACACAATTTAACATTTTAATCGATTATATATTTTCCTCCATTATCTACAATGTCTCGCCATCTTACAGGCAGCTTTTTTATGCCATTGTTGTAGAAAAACTCTGATTTTGATGCAAAAAAACTTGAAAGTTCTTTGCGTACATCCTGTTTAGAATTTAATTTTTTTCCCAGTAAAAGATTTTTTAAGGCACGAAATAAGTGAAAATCACTTTGGGGGTAAGTAGTGTGGCAAAATCTGGGGTACCAATATCTGGGGAGTAAGCAGGATGTGGTAAAAGCTTCCAATTAAATTCACTAATTTTCACTAATTGTTCGAGCCGTATGCGGTCTAGCGTTATCACGATAAAACAACACTTTCTTGATATTCAGCCATCGTGGGCGTTATTTGATCCATTCTGAGTTTAGACGGCAAAGTTGTTCACTATAAATTTCTGAATAAATCGTTTGATTTGGCTCTAACAGTTTAAAACGTCCCGAACGGGGTTCATCATCCATGCTGCTTTTTCCAACTTTAAAATTTTTAAACCATTTCTGGACAGTCCTTACACTCATAGTCTGTTCACCGTGCACACTAGTAATTTTTATCGCTGCAAACCTGGCAGATTCACCACACGAAAATAAAAAATGTAGCACAGCATGTTTGTACTGATTATCTTCTATGGGTACTAAAATGCGCTCGATATTTACGAAAGTTGGTGATGAACTGAATAATATGTGAGTCAAACGATGACAAGTTTCAACAGGCTCAAAATTGTATTGTTTTAGTAAATGTGTCATAGTGAATTCCACGCATACACTTAATGCGCACGAGCTTATGAACTGACCCTATACATAGTCTTTCCCTCTAGGACCTTTATTATTTTTAATTTTTATTCAGTGTATTCAGTTTGTATTTTAATTTTTGTATTAGCATTTTATCCATTTTATTTTCCCTCGCATTTATTATTTGAAACGTATTTTGCACACATTCTTCATTAAGCAACCCGGACGTGGCAGGTGTTCTCGCACTTGCGAAACTTTTCAAATATGCAGCTTCCATATCCTTATTTCTGTTATTTACGTTTCAACTCAGTGTAGCCTTATCCGCTGCTGATGCATTCGACCTTTAGAAATCTGAGTCTTCTGTTTGCCTTTTTTCTCCTTCGTTTTTCCAATATCCCTCTTGGGAAGTGCAGTCAAGTCTCATTCACGTGAGATGCCCCTGAGGCTTTACAAGGTAATTGAGCCACACACGTCTGAATCTGTAATCATCAGACATCAACTCAATATCCATCAGCTATTGTAATGTTAATATTACTATGAATTAGGATCGGAATTTGGTTTTTTTTTAAAGAAAAAGTACTCTGATAGTTACCAGTAGTTTATTCATGACCACTTTTCATTTTGGACTATAAAATTAGTTTAAAAAAAATGGGCGAAATAAGCGAGGAATCACGTAATATTAACTATTCCAAATATCATCGCACAAAAATGACCAATAGTATTATAAGCATTAAATTAATCTTCATGAGGTTGTTTTGCGTTATTTAATTTGTGTAAATAAATGAGTTACGTTGTAAACTTTCAGTTTAAACAGTAACAGTCGTAACAGTAACAGTCGTTGTAATAACGTCGTAACCAGATTAGAATTTCTGCAGTGTAGAAAAGTAGTTTCGTAATTTTTTTTGAAAATTAGAACCAACTTTCGTTAAATTTTCTAATTTTTGAATAATTTCGAGCATTCCTTGTTCTAAAGTGGTGCAGTTGCTTTGAAAACTTTGCATTTTACCAAGCATTCCAAACATCATCTTACAAGGATGAACGATATCTTTTATAATCAAGAAACTTGTTTTAATGTGCAAAGTATTTTTATCTAATTTGTGTGAATTAATGTGCTACGTCGTAAAATTTACGGCAGTTTGTTAATCATTCAAGGTTGTTAAGTAGACCCGTAAATTTTGTGTTAGCTAGATCATTAAACTTTCGTAAAATTTACAAATCTATTTGGCTACAGTGAATGATTCCTTTTTTTCTGGTTCTAAAAACGCGCAGCTTTTCGAAACCTTTATATATTATCAGTTTTTCTGAGCATAATCATATAGTAATGAACTGTATCTTTTATCAGCACTAAATCTATTTCAATATGCTAAGGTTTCGTTATTTACTTTGAATGAACAACAGTGCTACATTGTAAAGTTTACGGTTCCATTAAAAAAAACAATTTCTGAAGTTTGGCAATATAAGATTAAAATAACTGTTTAATATTATAAATGTAAACACATAAGTAATCTCTATACATTGCAGAAAAAGAATTAATCTATTTTAAAGGTGCAAGTAGACTTCTTTAACAACAATGTTATAGTTGTTAGAGACACTAGGTATTTTTGGAAGCAGGCAAGATGAAAAATTAACAATCGCCTTCGCCGGGAATCGAACCGCGGACTTCTGGAATATACCAACCCAGCGCGCAGAACCACTACACCACGAAGGCACGCCGAGGAGGGGGGTAATACCCTATATACTCCACCTTTTAAAGGGCGACTGGGGTTTTTAAGTGACCCAATCGCCAAATCCTGGGTGGGGAGAAATCATCGTCCACCACCCTTTTAGTTCGGGCTCCATTGTAGAGACATTAGGTTAATTTGAAAAGCCAGAGAGATGAAAAATGAACAATCGCCTTCTCTGGGTCCCTCTTGTTCAAGGAACAAAATTAAAAGCTATGATGCTTCTTTTGAAGAAGCGGAAGAAATGTTTTCTGTAATAAGGCAGTACACTAGGAGGAAGAGCACCCGGACCCAGACCTGACCAGACCCAGACCAGACCACTAGGCACCCAGAACTGGTTAAGTCGAGGTTGCCTTTACATAGTTAAACTCCCTAACCCCTAGAAGCGATCCGAGCAGGCATAACATCCCGGTCAACCCAGGGCGACAATTTCATCCCACAAAGTATAGTTAATTGCACATTGCACACAAAGTCAGTAATGGACGCCTGCGCATCTACCTAAAAATCAGAGAACGCGTCTTTGATATCGATTGTCCCCCACTGTTGACCAAGGGGAGCTAATCCCCGATGGCAACCTTTGATATCAAACCATGTAGCGTCCCCAATACCAAGGGGCAGATACGACAGTACCATATGGTCCCTGCAAGCCTAAACCTGTAGATGCATTAGGTACTTTTTAGAAGCAGAGAAGATGAAAAATTAGCAACGCCTTCGCTGGGAATCGAAAGACGGACCTCTGAAATCCCGGCTCAGTGTGCTGACCACTACACTACGAAGGCACGCTAGGAAGGCGGGAGAAATACCTTACATACTCCCCCTTGTAAAAGGACGACTGGGGTTTTTAGGGGCCCAATCGCCAAATCCTGTTGTAGAGAGTCATCATCCACTACTCTTTTAGTTCGGGCGCCACTGTAGTGACATTAGGTATTTTTTTGGAAGCAGGCAAGATGAAAAATTAGCAACGTCTTCGCCGGGAATCGAACCACGGGCAACTGAAATACCGGCTCAGTGTGCTGACCACTACACAACGAAGGCACGGTAGGAAAGCGGTAGAAATACCTTACAAACCTACCACCGAATAAACGATGGTTCTAGTCACTGTGAAGACTGTTAATATTTCTCCCGAAGTCGAGTCTGTAAACAAACTTAGCCAGAGCACCGGAATTGCTCCCATTCGACCCCCAGGGGACTTGTAATCAGGCAGAAAGCTCAGGCAGAGATTTCTTTGCTCCTCAGGCAGAGGGCATTGAAAGTGTTCTTTTAATTTTGTGTTGTTATTGCTGCTAATGCTCACTTGTCTGAGTTACAGTTAGTCCAAGCCCAGGAAATTATTAATAAAATTTAAAAAAATTATAATTATTATTATTTATATAAAATATATTTATATTATAAATAATAATAATATAATTTTTTGCCATCTAAAAATTATTTTGAATAAATTTTTAAACATGTATATTGTTACATATTGAACTATTCTAGGATGTTACACTAGCATAGATGAAATCCATTGTGCCACTAACTGGAATTAAAACTATACTCAAATTAGAATAAATAGATACTATCTTCAGACAATCATTGTTTCTTTGTGCATAATAGCTGTAATTCTGAAGCAACGTTTCTTAAACTATTCTTTAGTCATGACCCCTTTTTACCACCAAGACTTGTTTTTGTTCCCAGATATTAAATATAAAATAAAGATATAAAAATAAATATTTTTTCATAAATAATTTATTTCTTGGTAAACAATACACATTTAAAAATTAGTTTTAGGGTTTTTCAAGCATATAAAAATTAATGAAAGAAAAATCATGTTTTAAAGGGATAGTGGATTTAATAAGCATGAAACCTAGAAAAATCGTTTTACTTAAGTATATGGTGTTGAACGACAGGAGATCATTTATGAGGGTTTCAGAAGTTGTCGGAATCCAAGCTCCAATCCAGAATTCACTCAAGCATTTTTGCAGAAATAGAATTTGAGTCACTCGATAGCTCAACAGATTCCTTTAGGCCTTTATTAATCTCATTACTATAAAATAATGTAATTCTTTAAAAGTCTCATTAATACAATTTCTGTAATTTCATATATAGAATTGTGACCCCTAAAATTTGACTTTGTGTTTAACTACTTGTTACTAGATGGCAGCACTAATGAGAACCCTGCTCTAGTTAGTGATTAGCTAAACTATCTATTTTTAAGCACTTGTGGATCTGAAAGTTACGAATGGGAACTATAATTTTCACGAAAGACCCGAGATTCAAAATGTCAAATATCTACGCATTTCCCATCACTCAAATCTTTCTAATCGTGATCTAAAACACAGTTAAAAATAAGTTAAAACTCAAAACATTTTAATTCTTCGAAATTTCTCTGCAGCAAAAGCTTTTAATATTAAGTATTTTTTTCTTTTTTTCTTATTATTTTTCGTATATGAATATTTGAGATATTTGAAATTCGATAAGTTCAAGAACCTTTATTATAAGATTTCGAAAAAATTTACGATTTATCACAACTGTACTGTGTAAATTTAAACGTTTAATACAATAAAATTTTGAAAAGATTATAACAGATATGAATTAATTTTCAATTAATAATAACTACGCCCTTTTTTTTTTTTTTTTTTTTCATCGAGGACTGCGTTAATTTAAATTCAATTCAATACTCTTGGTTTACTTTGGCAAGTATTTTTGCATACGTTCGATAGATGGCGCCACCAACAACACTGGATGAACTGATTTGGGAATGTTTAATACAATAAACTTTTGAAAGGATTGTAACAGATACGATTGGATACGATAGGATTGTAACAGATTTCAATTAATAATAACTACGTATTTTGTTTTACTCCCGAGAATTTGCAATCAAGTTTGATACCGCGTTAATTTAAATTCAATTCAATATTCTTGGTTTGCTTTGGCAAGTATTTTTTTAAACGTTCGACAGATGGCGCTACCAACGACACCGAATGAACTGATTTGCGAAGAGGAGATTTCTCAAAATAATTTCCAGCATCTTGCCCCCACATACATATAATTGCAATTTATCATGACCCGCATACATATAATAGCTCTGAAAAGAGTGGAATGTGGAAAATTCTACATTAAAATAATATGATATTGAAATAATAATAAATAAAATGGGTCATTTTTAGGAGAAGTAACTTTATCGCAGAGTGGATTTCGGAAAGAAGCATTTGAGTTTTCGGAAAGGTTTTATGTTTAGTGGCAACACTTATCAGTATCTGCTTGAATTTCTGTCCTTCTCATCAATTAATTTTCAAGCCTTAATAATGTCTACAGATTTTACTTCGTCAGGACAAGATTTCCGATGTTAAGTACAGTAAGACCCCGCTTAACGCTGTTTCGTTTAGCTCTGTTTCGGTTTAGCGCTCTTTTATTTCAACCCGGGGATTCTCCGAAATTGTGCGCAGCGCTAGGTTTCCAAATAACATATCCGAAACAGTGTAGTTGTGTTTCTTGCTTTTTATCATTTGAAACAACATTTGTTGACATTATTGTAAGTTTAAATTTGATATATAATACTATAACGATTAATAATACAGCGACAAATATTATGATCTTTAGTTTTTATCATGGGTGATAATACGAGTAAAACACAAGAAAAAGAAAGCAACCAGAAAAAGGCATTTCACTGGAAACTCAAATGCAAGTGATTAGAAGATCAGATTCCGGTGAACGTCAATCTCAAATTAGTGCTGCATTGATTTTGGCAACTTCAACAATAAGGACAATTCTTTCTTAAGAATAAAGAAAAAATACTGTCATCGGCAACTGCAACTAGAATTACCCGATCTAGAAATAACATTATAGAGGAAATGGAAAAACGACTGTCTATATGGATTGACGACGAAATTGAACGCAATATGCCATTAAGCCAATCTATCATAATGCCTTCTTGACAAAAAGGCAGAAAATTGGAAACCCAGAATAGACTGAATGATCTGACTGAGAATTTTATTTGTTTTTAAAAGTATATGCGTTTATATTGTTTTTATTTTTGTAAGAAATAAATGTTTGATTTTATTTTTATTAAAAAAAAACATTATTAAATTTAATGCCTAACTATTTTTTATCCGTCTTCCCCTAACCCCATTATTTACATGTTAAGATAGCCTCGCTTAGCGCTGTTTCGCATTACGCTCTACTTCGATGGGACGTATCCCCCGCGTTAAGCGGGGTCTTACTGTAAAAGAAATGCATTTTCTTCAAACAGAATGGGAAGACATGAGATTTAATCCGTTTCTTTATTGGTTTCATAACTAGAGAGGGCGGGCACATTCTTATAATGTTATGAATAGTTTTGTGAACAAATAATAATAATAATAATAATATAATTTTAAAATGCCAGAATTGAAATTTTTCTTCAAAAATAAGTATTTTCATTAATGTACATGTAGTTTTAACATGTTTGGTATCTACTTGCTTATATATCAAAAGGGGCGTCAAAACCAAAGACCGCCCCAGGCGGCTAAAAGCTGTAACTACGCCACTGTTCTTTACATGTTAAATAAACGCATATTCTTTTCCAGTGAATAATCTGACTTTTTTACCTCTGCTTACAGAAAATAATTGGGGCAAGTGCTCAGACGGAACATATAATCTGGGATGTGGTCCTCAAGAAACATTTCGAGCTTGTGCTGATGTCTCTATCTATGACAGAGTCAAAGCAAGTGCAAAAATAAACCAAGCAGGAAAAGGTTTTCAGTAAAAAAAAAATTGAATTAACCAGTGAATAAATTCACTGCTAATAAAAGCTTGTGAATATATAAAATATAATTATAATAAGAAATCAATAATAAATTTAATTTAAACTTAATCCGAGGAATGCAAATAAGAGTTATTTTTGAAACACCTTTTATATGTTTTAGTTCTTCAATAAATGATTAAAATTTACTTGTTCATCTGAAAATTTCTTCTTTTAGTCCAAAGGAGCGTTAGCACAGAGGAGCTATTAATTTCGTTTTGGCATTTCGCGTCGATTCACTACAAACGGCGAATCACTTTTGAAATTGTCGCCACCAAATATTACAGCCCTGTATTATACTTAAAGAAATTAAATTATGAAGAATCTGCACAAATGTATGTATGTTTCTCGCATTGTGATAAAACAAATGTACCTACAGCCATCCAGTTTTGAATAACGGACGTCTCCACCCGAATATGAGCATCTGGAGGCTCAGATTTAGAATATGTTTTTTTATATATTTCATGTTTTGCAAAGCATTAATGATTTTTTGATTAAGAAACTCAACAACGATTTCAAAGCGACCAATGGCAACATTGTACTTAAAAATAAATAAAAAATAAAATAAAAAAAAAAAATATTTCCAGCGTGCGAGACTGTTTATCGAAAATTCTAAAGATATGCTCTTTTGAATATTTTGTGATATCGCTGTGGATAGAATTTTGTGGTTTAAGTTCGAAGAACATGATATTTAATAAATAAAGGTAGCACATAAAACGTTAAAAAAACGCGTAATAAAAATATGAAAGCTTTCAGATTTTTATTTTACTTTTTTTTATGTATTTCTATTTTTTCAAAACTTCTTGTAATTTAAAAACTACTGAATTTTGCATTTTTCATATGATGCAAAAACTAAAAAATTTTATTTAAAAAAATTTTTCAAAACTCAAGTGTTTGTATTGGTTGGTTCAAAATTCTTTAGTCTTTAATTACGTAGATATATAAATGTATTTTGTCTTTAATTATGTACATATATATGTTTAAGCTTAAAATTGTGAATATAATTTAATAAAAAATTTTCTTCATTTAAGGCAGCATTAAATTTATACTAGAAAAAAAAACTGAATAATCTACCTCTTAACACGAGATTAGAAATAAACAATTAATCTAAGTCAGTAAAACTGGAATCTCACAAAGAAAGCAGAGGTTAAAAAAAAAAAAAAAAAAAAAAAAAAAAAAAAAAAAAAAAAATCTGAAATTGTCTAAATTTAAGCATTAATATTTAATTGAAAATGATGGTAAACGAAAATTAATTATTCTGAGACCGGAGCTCTTCAGGGCAATAGCCGAACTCAGTAACAATCTATCTTCGTTACTTTACCAAATTCCAAAAATGTTTCGCTAATTTATCATATTACTTTCCTTTGATCCTAAGCTTGGCTTTCATCCTGCAGGTAAAAAAAAAAAAAAAAAAAAAAAAAAAAGGCTTAGAGGATACAAAATAAAAGTACTGTGATTTTTTTAAATGGCTGAATTTTCTTTTTTTTTTTTAATAGGATTTAATTTTTTAGGAATAATAATTTTTCATAATTATTTAAATTGAAGTAATAGAATGCAGTACTATATTTTGCTTAACGCATTTGCATTATCGCACCGACTAAAATTTGACGAATAAATTCATTTTTATTTATTTTCTAGGCCTTAAAACAAAGCTTACTTTATGTTTAACTGTAAAACTAAGCAAAAGTTGCTTTGAAAATTTAATAGAGAAGATATTCTTTATTTGTATGAAACAAAGAGTAGGCCTGTGAATAATAATTGTCATTTTATTACATAAGCCATAAGCAAACATTTTATTACGTGCCTTACAAATTCGGCTATATTAATTAATATTTTTGCACAAATACTTATTCTTTTATCTTTTTAAAAATATGTACAGCTTTATTATTTAAAACAATCATAAGCTAAAAACATATAAACAAACAAGTAAACCGGGTGGATGAAACTTTACTATGCTGTCCTTGTGCTGCCATCTATTAACAGCTAATTGAACTAAGTATACTACTTTTTCATGACTAAAAACATTCTAAGCTCCTTTCTGCAAATGAACCACTGGTATAAATATAAATTTGTAAATTTACCTTCTCAGAGAAGTAAATAAATAAAATAAAAACTTAATAATTATTCTCTAGTTCTTTTGGATAAATTGCTCATTTATCTCACTGAATTTTATCTGAATATATCAATATGATATTTGAAAACTGAAAGATTTATCCCAATTAACTTTCAATTTTTATTCTCAGAAACAGAATTTCCGATTAATTACTTTAGCCTATGAAACTAATTCATGATTTTTCTTAGACTTTAGTTATAATTTTCATAATATATTAAATAACGCTTTTTACATTTAGAATCTCGTCACAAAATTTAACTCTTATTACAGTATTAAGCATTAAAAAAATTTTCATTTTCATACAATATTTGCAATAGGCGGAAAATATTCACTGTTAGTGGCTAGGAGAAAATAAAACTGAGAGTTTATTCAAAATTGGTAGGAAAAAAAAAAAAAAGCCTAATTGTTATTTCGTTACTATAGCAACTGATTAGTTAGTTATTACACTACTGCCCAAAAGTTATTATGGAAGAAAACTATAAAAAATGACTAGTTAAAAATATTAAAACAAAACTTATTTTTAATTAGTCATTATTAAAATAACACATTCTGCTGTAAATAAAAAAAGTATTTTGAATGAACGGAATAATAAGAATGATATTTTACTACAATAATAATGGTGATGATAATAATAATAATGAAATGTTATATTTGTTAACAAAATAAAATTATGCAGTTGAGAAACTAGAGTACTTATTACACTTTTGATGAATTTCTTCGTATATAACTATCACTCCAATATACTATTTTAATAGCCTTGTTAGTGCTGCTATCTGGTGTAGCATAACCGAAATATTTGTATTTATTAATATTAGAAATGTGTCTTTAATATAGATATTTTAAAATGTTCCATCTGTGTATATACACATATGGCACATATATATATATCGGCTTTCATATATAGGTATGTCTCTCTAATAATATGGTTAAGTGTGCAATATCTTTATGAAATAATTTAGCAATAACAAAGTCATGAAAATAAATTTGGTGAAAAAGAAAATAAATTTAATTTTTTGGTTTTATTCAAAGCATTAAATATAATAATTTTAATTATTTACCTTAAGTTGATTCTAGACGTGATAAAAATTTTAGCTCTCGCCCTCCCAACATGAATATAATTAAAATTAATAGTAAAAGAAGCAATCTTTCGGAGAAAGCCCAATTTATTTTCAGGAAAATATGACCTTGTTCCCTTTCGCAACATTCACGCCTCAAAAATATTTTAAATGCTTTTTTACGTAACATAATTCCCTATTCGGTCTTCAAAAGAAATAATGGCTTTAATATATAATTATTAAAAAAATCATATATTAAAGCCGAGTTTTATTGTATCCGCTGCAGTGCTGCCATCTAGTAGAGATGGAAGAAATTAATGAGAATTTTAAAATGTGAGGGATTTTCTGTTGTATAATTTTGATCTAAAAAAAAGCAGAAGAGGGGAGGAATTCCATAGCAAGTCTCAAATTACTGAATTTCAAGCAAAATATACTATCTTTTTAACACTGTGAAAGAAAATTTTTACATAAAATCTAGCATTTTCTCCATAGAGAAGACGTGTGTACAAAGACGTACGCAAATATACCTCAGTATAATTCCAAATTTATTACTATCTGTATCATAAATCCTATAAAAAACGTAACAGATTAGATTCTAAAATAATCTTCGAAATATTCAATTCCTATCCCTTTCTATATCTGTCAAAAATAAACTGTTTTTATTTAAATGTTTAACAAAAAGAATCTCCTTTGCAAACATAGTATAATATGGATGCAAAATTCTCTCAAAAACAGAGTACGTTCTTTATAATTAGCCTCGAAACTCGTTTTTTGCTTGCATAATGTTTGTCTTCGAATCACTTTTAAAATCGTTGCCACTATATATTACCGCCACAAATTGTTTTTTTTTTTTTTTTAAATTAAATAATGAAGAATTTGTATGCATGTATTTTTCTCCCATTTGAGGAGAACGATGAATTTTCAATACACGTAGTCCTTCAGCCGAGCATAGGTACCTTCAAATAACGATTTTTTTTTTTTTTTTTTTTTTTTTTTTTTTTTTTAAGTCCGAAGGGGCTTTGTCTCTAAAGGACTATAGTTTTCGTTTTGCGATTTTGCGTTGATTCACTATAAATGTCCGTTTCACTTTTTAAACTGTTGCCACCAAATGTTAGAGTCCTGCATATGTAATGCAGGACTCTAGCATTCTAAAGATTCTAGCATGCTAGATCCTAAAGTCTCGCGTGCTAGATCAAAACTCGGTATCGGAAATTCTAAAGGATATGCTCAATTTAAAACTATTTTCGATATTGCTCTTGAACTGAATTTTATGGTTTTGAACTACTTTTACTGCTCTTGAACAGAATTTTAAGCGCCATACATTTAAAAAATAAAGGTAACAGGCAAAATGTTAAAAAAACGCTCCTTTCGACGTAATTTAAAATCTGAAACCTTTCAGACTTTTTTTTTTTTTTTTTTATCATATTTAGAAATTTAATGAGTTGTTGTTTAACTCCCCGATTTGAAAACGAGAAATAAAACCACAAAATAAACTTTCGAAATAAAATATTTTAATTTTCTTGTACGAAGTAAAAAGGAGGTATTGTAATCGCGAAAAGTTTCATGCAGCATATTTCAACGAAAATATCCGTTTTGATTGCTATGGAATGCAATTTAACGATGTTTTTCCGTGACATCTGTACGTAAGGAAAGAATAAAATACTCTTTTCCTCCAAAAAAATTATATAATTGCTTTAAAACGCATTCTGAAGAGAATTTTTCGTGGCGTCTGTACGGACGTATGTACGTACGTACGTATCTCGCATAACTCAAAAACGAGTAGCCTCAGAACGTTGAAATTTTGTATATAGGACTGCTATAACATCCACCTCGTATTTTGGTTGCAATCGGCCGCACCAAACGTATATAAATATATTTATATATATATCCACTCATTTACCCGGCTCGGTGATCTCAGTTTCTTTACTCTTATATGTTTATAAATTGTACAGTTTTTGCTTTAAAAATGATTGAATTATATTGTTCTTATCTTCCGG